CCCCACCCTAGACTGGGCTGCACAAGCCTCATCCAACCTGGCCTTAAACACCTTCAGGGAGGGGGCTTCCAAAACCTCCCTAGGCAGCCTATTCCAGCACCTTACTACCCTCATGGGGAAGAATTTCTTCCTGATGTCTAACCTAAATCTCCCTTCTTTCAGTTTAAAACCACTACCCTATGTCCTATCACTGCCCTCTCAGGAGAAAAGTCCCTCCCCAGCTTTCCTGTAGGCCCCTTCAGGTACTGGAAGGCCACTGTAAGGTCCCATGACATGATGTTTAGGCTGTGAATGTAAATGCATGTCAGCATTTTCAACAAGTGTTCATTCAACTGTCTTAAAACTCTCTTTCAGTTTAAAACCACTACCCTATGTCCTATCACTGCCCTCTCAGGAGAAAAGTCCCTCCCCAGCTTTCCTGTAGGCCCCTTCAGGTACTGGAAGGCCACTGTAAGGTCCCATGACATGATGTTTAGGCTGTGAATGTAAATGCATGTCAGCATTTTCAACAAGTGTTCATTCAACTGTCTTAAAACTGCAGAAAATCTGAATGAAAACAATAGAGCTTTATAAAGAAACTGCAGATACTAAAGAAGTTTTTTCTTACCAACATATTGCTTTCACAGTAAACATGACTGTACGATTTCCTGTGGCTTGCAAGAGGAAAAGTGAAATATTTTCCATCAGAATCCTAAAAAGGAAAAAACACCCAAACCTGACATTAGTTACAAAATAAACATAAAAACACAATGAGGAAAAAATGTTACTTACATTGTAAACTGAATAAGTCCATTTTGAGGCTTTGACTGTAATCCACATGAAAGCTCCTAGAAATAAATATGTTTTTATATGCCACAATGCAGGAACTACTATCCTTATCTCCAAAATCTAATATTTTAAGTATTGCCAAAGTATTATTTCTTATCTGTAAACAGCCATAAACATGTTAAGCTTTTATCTACGCTTAAGATGGCTACTGCTTAAAATTACATGCAATAGTTATCATCAGTTCCACTGCAAACACCAAAACCCTAGGATCCAATTACTTCCTAAAAAACTGTAAAATAAAACCCCCATGGATCTTGAAACAAAGCTCCCAGGCAACAAATAAAAAATTGAATTACACTAATGTAACTACAAGTTGACGGATTAAAGCTGAGAGAGCATTAGAAGCAGCCCCAATCTTCTGTCAGGTTTTTAAGAAAACTAATACAGAAATTTGTGCAGAAGGACAAATTTTTCTAGGGAAAAATAATAAGACAGAATAATTAAGAGATCAGAGATACAAACAATGCAAATTGTCATGCAAGAAGGTTAATATCTTTTTTCTCTGGAACTAGATTAAGAAGTTCATCACAGAAAGTTTGCTAAGTCTCAAGGTCACCAGAAACAGGAATACGCAAACATGAAATCCAATGGAAACATAACCCTCTCTATTGCTAAAAAAAACCCCAAAAACCTCCAACCAACCAACCATCAGTTCCACAACCCCTTTGAACACCTGTTCGAGTGTTTGACCACCCTCTCAGTGAACTCCTGTTTCCTAGTATCTAACTGGAATTTCTTTTGTTGTAACTGGACTCTAATGCCTGTTGTGTTACCACTATGTATCCCTAAGAAAAGTCTAGCTTCACCTTCTCTCCAGTTTTTCATTAGGTAGTTGAAGACAGCAACAGGGTCCACCTTAGTACATCCTTTATGGTGAAAAAGCCCAGTTCACTCAGCCTCTCCACCCCATGTCCTGTGCCCCAGGAGCTGACCATCTTGGTGGACCCCTGCTCCAAAGTCACTTCAGTATCTGTCTATGTCCAAAAGCCATTTTATACAAGAGTGTCCAAAAATGGACATCAAAGCTCAAGCTACCTTCATACTTCTACAATAGCTTATTGCCCACTTTGGCAAAGCTAGGAACACAGCTGTACTCAGCAAGAGGTCTGTTTAGTTCCCAAGGCTCATTGACGTCAAAATTTCTCTCCTTTAACTCGGCATTCTTAGCAGTTACAACTAAAACATTAGTGTGCAGTCCATTCTACCCTGCCATGTCATTAAAAAAGGGAAGTCACTGATAAAGCAGGTGTGAATATTCTGGATTTCCATGAGTAACATAAGACTAATAAAATGCCTCCACAACACCCGTACTATCCCTCCGGCAAGCATGGGATGTAAGCACAGATTAGACTACTTTTGACAGCCAGCTATTCACAGTTTCAAAGACAGTTTACTGGAAAGACTGGTGAATATAGGACTTCTGTTCATCCCCCAGCATGCAAGCCATATAAAAATGACAGATTTTTTGCTACTGCCCCTTTTAATCTATTTAGTGCTGTAACTACATCAAATCTGGTAGTTTGAGCCTATAACCCATATATGATTTTAGCAATACCTGAAGAAGGACAAAATATATCCCAGAAGTTTGTTTGTGAGAGTCTCAACTATAAACCAGGGAGGATCATGGAATCCTGTTCAAAAGAAAACTGCTGCACACCTGTGAGTTCTGTAAAAGCTTCAGGATTTTCCTCAAATATCTTTGCAGGGTGTCTCACAAAGTGGTGATTCAATACAGACATTCTCTTCTTTGGATCCTCAGTTATCTAAAAAAAGAACACAATCAAATTTTATTTTACCATTTCATGTAATTCACAATCATCACATGATCATAGCTAGCAAGATAGTTTTGAGGATGACAAGCAGAAGAGATTTTTACAAGACATGGTACACCAATTCTATTCTAAATTCAATAATCTGAACAAATAAAGTGCCATCAATACTCAATCACTGCAATATAGAAAGCCTACACATGTTCTGAAGTACAGCTGAAATGTTTATTTTTATATCTTTGCCTACTCTTTACACAAGGAAACCATTTTGTCAGACTTTCTTTACAGACACACATGCATTCTTCCCAAAATTAACATGCTTATGCCAGAGTTTAGGAAAAGTTCTCTCATTTATATTTACTAGTCTGAGTTCACAAAATCCAGCTTGCTACATCTTATCTTAACATTTTAAGTATTCAAACAGCTGGAGAGCTACACTGGGATTCACTTTTTTGGGAGGTGTTTCTGTTTTGTTTTGTTTTCCTTTTTCAAAATCAAATTTCCATGACTAATTGATTGATGAGGATTGGGTTAGGGATCAGTTGAGTAATCTGGACATCCATAAATCAATGGGTCCAGATGGAATGCACCCAAGGGTGCTGAGGGAGCTGGCGGAGGTCATTGCTAGGCCACTCTCCATCATCTTCAGTAAGTCATGGGCAACAGGTGAGGTGCCTGAGGACTGGAGGATAGCAAATGTCACACCAGTCTACAAGAAGGGCAAGAAGGAGGACCCGGGTAACTACAGACCGGTCAGCCTCACCTCCATCCCTGGAAAGGTGATGGAACAACTTCTTCTTGGCACTATCTCCAGGCACATCAAGGACATGGGGGTCATCAAGAGCAGTCAACATGGTTTTATCAAGGGTAAATCATGTTTGACTAACCTCATAGCCTTCTATGAGGAAATTACTAGGTGGATAGATGATGGTAGAGCGGTAGATGTGGTTTATCTTGATTTCAGTAAAGCATTTGACACCGTCTCCCACAGCATCCTTGTAGATAAGTTGATCAGGTATGGGTTTGGTGATCAGGTAGTGAGGTGGATTAGGAACTGGTTGAAAGGAAGGAGTCAGAGAGTTGTAGTCAATGGGGCAGAATCTGGTTGGAGGTGTGTGACTAGTGGAGTCCCACAGGGGTCGGTACTGGGACCGGTGTTGTTCAACATCTTCATCAACGACCTGGATGAGGGTATAGAATGTACCCTCAGCAAGTTTGCTGATGACACTAAGCTGGGAGGAGTGGCTGACACACCAGAAGGCTGTGCTGCCATTCAGAGAGACTTAGATAGGTTGGAGAGTTGGGCGGGGAGAAACATGATGAAATTCAACAAGGGGAAGTGCAGAGTTTTACATTTGGGGAAGAACAACACCATGTCCCAGTACAGGTTGGGGGCTGAACTGCTGGAGAGTAGTGTAGGTGAAAGAGACCTGGGGGTCCTGGTAGACAGGAGGATGACCATGAGCCAGCAATGTGCCCTTGTGGCCAAGAAGGCCAATGGCATCCTGGGGTGCATTAGAAAGGGTGTGGTTAGTAGGTCAAGAGAGGTTCTCCTCCCCCTCTATTCTGCATTGGTGAGGCCACATCTGGAGTATTGTGTCCAGTTCTGGGCCCCTCAGTTCAAAAAGGACAGGGAACTGCTCGAGAGAGTCCAGCGCAGAGCTACGAAGATGATTAAGGGAGTGGAACATCTCCCTTATGAGGAAAGGCTGAGGGAGCTGGGTCTCTTTAGCTTGGAGAAAAGGAGACTGAGGGGTGACCTCATCAATGTTTACAAATATGTAAGGGGTGAGTGTCAGGGGGACGGAGTTAGGCTTTTCTCAGTGATGACCAGTGATAGGACAAGGGGTAATGGGTGTAAATTGGAGCATAGGAGGTTCAAGGTGAATATCCGAAAAAATTTTTTTTACTGTGAGAGTGACAGAGCACTGGAACAGACTGCCCAGGGAGGTTGTGGAGTCTCCCTCACTGGAGACATTCAAAACCCACCTGGATGAGTTCCTGTGTGATGTACTCTAGGTGACCCTGCTCTGGCAGGGGGGTTGGACTAGATGATCTCTCGAGGTCCCTTCCAGCCCCTAGGATTCTATGATTCTATGATTCTAATTCTTCAGCTTTCTGAAACTTTGGCAATTACAGATTTCTGAAAAGCTGTACTCTCCAGCACACTGCCAGTGAACTCCAGAATAATTGTATTCCCTTTCTGTCTCTCCAAATCACATATTAAATTGAAACTAGATAAGTCTGCCACAAAGAGCGTCAAAAAGAACACTTAGAAGCACTCTTCTTTTATGTCTGGCATCCTGCTCCAATTTATTTCCAACCTTTTTGACCTTAATTCCAATTCATATTTATTGCTGCATAACATTTCAGAAAGAGAACAGAGTACAATGGGAGATTTCTCCCACAGTTTTTAAAAAGATGCAGGATATTTATTTAGAAAAGCAATAAATAATGTAACAGGTGTGCTAGCATTTTACTTGCCTTCTATTTTTGTAAGTGCTATTTGCAAAGGAACATCACAAACACAATAAACACAATCTGGCCTCTATCCCAACAGCACAGGAGGAAGTTCAAGAAGCACTATGGCCGAGTTAAACTACCACAGTTTTTCATCCTTTATACACTAATGGCTCAAACATACAGAGAGGTCACATTCAAAGCTCCACTGCTTGCAAAGTTTGTTTATCCACAGCAAGGTCAACTAAAGGTGCTGCATTATCGAAAAATTTTCAGCCCACACCCCAGCTATAAAGCATCAAGCAGTCAATAATAAAAACTGAACTAACACCCAATTATTTTTGACACATCAGTCAAAAAACACAAAGCCACAGGAGTTTTCACTGACTGGTATAAAATGTCAACAATTTTCTCTGCATGACTTAGAATAATAAAAAAAATATATTTTTTTTTCTGTATCATAGGGTGGTATTTGTCCTGATGAAGCATTCTGTGATGGACGAAGAAAGTGAGATGGGGAAATATACAGAAGATCATATATACAAACCTGCCTTGTGTTTTCATCTATGAGATCAAAAAGAACTCTAATTGTGGCCAAAATCAATTCTTTGCACCTAGAAGACAGAATAAGTAAAATGAAATCTAGAAAGGAAATATCCAGGGGAATAAAAGTGGTCAGAAGTGACATTATAATAATATTTTGCTGAAGTTAAATTATTTTATGTAATAACAGTAGAGAACAGAGGGATGTAAGGTCAGCCAATTAACCTTTATTGCATTAGCTTACCACACTATGGAGAGATGGTCTGTTGAGGCCCAGACTCTAGGCACAGCCGAGCTCTGTTTGGGAAAGAAAGAAATTCAAGACTTTGTTAGTATTTAACACTTGAAAATTCTAAGCAAGCCTTTCCCCTCCTTATTTAAATATAATGGCACAATTATTAAAAAGAATAGCATTTATCCTAAGAGTTTTCAAGGACTAAGGTGTAACAGAATGACTTCTTCAGTCAAAAAGCTTCAAGTGCTGAAGCTAATCTATGTTAGATATCAGAGACTAATGGTGAAAGGGCAAATAATGTTACCGAGTAAACTTACCAAAAATTGCTTCAAAGGTTGCCTCTATGACTAAACTTACTATTTCAGTAAGTGATTCTGGCACACAAGAATAGAAGCATGCCAATGAAAGCTGCTGCTGAAAAATTAAGGGCATTCTCACAGAAAGGAGCATAACAACACCCTGGAGAAAGAACTGGACACTCTGAAGCTATTCATTTGTGTGTGTGTGCGTGTACCGCATGTATTGCATCTTTAGGTCTAACACCTCCCATATATGGAGCTCATCACCCAGTTGCATAACTTGATTCAAGTAAGCTATGAACTATTAATGCATTACACTCGGGAACACAACAACAGAAGGCAAAAAAACCAAAACCCACAAACAACAAAATAAAAAAAGGGAAACACCTAGTACCACTACACGTGAAATCTCATGCAAAATTACGGTCACCAACACATGAGAAGGGAAATGTAGAGCAGATGCAAACGGTTACTTAGCCTAGCAGAACCTGAGCTGAAATTACTTACAGACAACTTACTGTGCAACGGACAGGGAGGTAAACACCAAGGAAATTACAACTATTTCATATAACATTTCAAGTTGATGTCAGAACAAATCCATGTAAAAGCTGACTAGCGCAGTAAATGGAGCTTGGAAATTCCAAACTTTCTCCCTACTGAGGAGTCCTTTCCAGCTTCTTCCGTGTACAGAACAAGCTGAAGGCAGGGGGATGGAATGACAAACCTAACTATTTTATGTCTCTTAATTTTGGAAGGAGACAGATGTCTGCAAAAGCAGAAGACTGGACTTCATAATCCAGTACATCCTTTCTACTCCCAAGTTCTTTGAAAAGCAATAAACACAAGATGACTCCAAGACAGAGCTCTCTTTTTACAATCAAACCAGCAGTCTGCTTCTTTGCTGCACATCTGTCAGTCTACATACACACATCTCTAGCAAAAACACAGGAAGATAAAGCCCGAGTTCTGGAACTGAAAAGGTGCAAGACCCTGGTGAGAAGAACCAGTACCAAGTAGTAGATTATTCAAATCAACCCCAACACAGCCTCTTCCAGTGCACGCTCATTTATACTACATCAACAATTTATGTTTTTATAACTGTACACTACTTTGTTTTTCACATGTAGTATTTTCTTATATAGTTATGCTATGCGGCACATACAGACTATCATTACAACACTGATGCATGCATTACATAAATAGCTATCTAACATAGCTCCATGTAATACCAAAAAAATAGTTTGCTTTTTTACCACAACAGATAAGGCACTGTCATGTTGACTCAATCTTGGTAGAAAAGTCAGTCCTGAACGAACTTGGTAATCTCTGAATCCTCCCGCCACAGAAAGGGTAGTTAAATTTCTTAAATCTTGGGCCTTTAGAATCCAATGATTGTTTACAGCTGTATAAAAATCTATAAAATATATTAAAATCAATCACAATTTCCTCGTAAGTCCATCTGATATACAAAAAAAGCTATAGAAACATTTAACTAAAAGTTTCTGTAAGCCCTCCTGGAGACATTAAAACTTCAATTACCACTTTTGATTTGTGTAAGGAAGGAAAATCACTGTTTTAACCTGTTAACCAAGGAGGTAGCAGCTGGGAAAGACAGATAAACTTTCCGTGTCAGCTGAGCACAGTGTGCAAACCACAGATTTATTTTAAGGACAGCCACAGTTCAGAAACAGTCAGCAAGGGAGAAGCATTACATTGCAATAATTGTAGGAGGGAGAATTAATGCAAGCACAGTGAATCAAATTCAGCAGCTAAAGATAATCCATTCCTTTCAGGTGTCACAGAGATTAATGAAAATAAATGCCTTCTCCCTTTCCTTCACTAATGTTTTCAATATCTATATGTAACAGCACAATTACCAGTGAGCATGTATTTCACCAGTAGAGTTAATTAGCTCTAGCTTTCCAAGAAGCATATAGTAAATGCATAGTAACATGATTATACTTCACAAGTTTTATGCCACAGTTATTTAAGCTAGCAGAAAACACAGTCTACCTTCTCTGAATATATATATATAAAAATACATATAATCAGATCATATTCAACATTCTTACCTCTTCAACCTTTGGGAGTGATAAACATCAAATTTACCAGCTTCTGCAGTAATAACTTTATTAACTCTATTTGGCAATTGTTGATTTTTTTGTTTATTTCGGTTTTGTTGGGGTTTTTTTACAAAACAGAAAGCAAAAAATGTAATTCACTCGAGAGCTTACAAATCATGCTCTGCAACTTATTGAAATTACAAATCCTTGAGAGTTCCAGGACCTGTATAGAAACTCAAGTCCACATAATCCATTTGATATGACACTTTATATGACAGGACACTCTCAGTATTCTGGTGATCTCAATCATCTGAGTAACAATGGAATAGATTAACTATAATAAGCAAAACAGCACATTTTGCTGTTGATCTGCAAGAAGCTCACTGACTAATGCTTGAGAGGCTCTATAAAGAAATAAAATGTAATTAAGTTAACTGCAATACTTACCAGTAAGATATTTGTCTAAAGGCATCACAGGTGCAACATGAGGTGTGGCTTGTGTAATGAGAAGATTTATAAGTTCAGGCTTAAAATTCTTCAGAGTAAGCAATGCTCTTGCAACAAGACCACCCATGGAATGACCTACTATTGCAACACTGGTTGGTGCAAATTCTCGACCCTTAAGCAAAGATCAGTAAGACACATGAAAAATAGATTTGACATTGAACTATAGTTATCAGTTGTATATTTATTTCCCCTAAAAATAACTCGTGTCCTCTCAAAGATAATATTAACTAGTATCAACTTGAAAAGTTTACAATATTAATATAAATTTCAATGCCATCTCAAAAAAATGTGCTTAACAAAGCTTGCAGCTCAAAAGGAAACATTATATAGCCTGTGTAAACATCAGAATCTTCAGCTAATTTTAATTTCTGAGACTCTTAGGGACACAAGATATCAAAGGAGTTTCCTAGAGAAAAATGGATGTAAGGTGCCACTACCTTAGTATTTTAATAACCAAGGGGTTATTGAAATAACCAGGCAAAGTTTAAGTCTTTACTACAAAAAAAAGTATACATGGAGGTATACGTTTAGAAGCACAATACAGAACCTAACCATGGTTATGGGATTGTCACAAGCATCCAAAATCTGTTAAAGAGCAGCCCTTCTCTATTGCACTATTATCACACTCAACTATCTACACACATCATAGTCTCCCTCCCTTACTCTTCAGTTTTCCAACAGAAAAGGCAGCCCAGAATCTCATTCCAAACTGCAAGTACATTATTCAGCATATGCACTACTTACCCTGTACAACTTAAGAATTACTTTTATGCATTCATGCACAAACTTGGTCTGTCGTTGCAGACTACCACCATACAATGCAACCAACTCCTCATTAAAGTTGACACTGAAGAAATTAAAATGATACTTGAAGTCAACATCTTCTGCTTTTCTAAGGGCAATGGAGCCAAGAGAACGTACTAGGAAAAGAAACCACACCAATTAGAACAGTCTAATAGTCACCACTTACGACTATCACTAGCAGAAAAACACAAATATATAATCTATAACAAAACAAATGTTATATTAAATCCAGTGTTCTCCTTAAGATACTTAAGTAAAAAAAAAAGGATGAAAATTACATCCAGAAGCAAATGATCTCTTTTCTAATCTGCAATGACATTTTTTTACAAAAATGGGTTTGAAGATATAAATAATTGGAGCAGAAGTATCAGCCAGTCACAGTAAGAACCAAACCGTAAAATGAGAAGAAAAGTAATTATTTCCTGTTTTTATAAGAAACCCTCTGATAAAAAAATAAATAGCAAACTTATCATAACAGGAACTTACAGAAGAATGTGGAAAAGAACAAACCTGATTAGATTAAAAGAAAATACGGAATGAGTTACCAGGAGCTGCATGCTACAACGCAACTGAGATCACCACTGACTACAGAGATGTTTTATGTCAAAAACAGATTTATACAAGATCAAGGATTACAGTCCCCTGAGGGAATGCTTTTCTCATCTCATTTGCACCTTCTTAACGCCACCAGGAAAAGAAGGCAAAATGAGGAGTCCTGACTTCAACACTAGAGGCATTGCTACTGCTAAGCTTTCCTAAAATTCCTTTAAATATAATCAACTCGAGAACTACATTCCCAAATATCACCAAGATATGTACAGAGGACAGGAAAACAAAGGAGACTTCTCCACCTAAAACCTTAATGGAGAAAGTGTTCTGATTACAAGGTCTTTCCTGTGACCTGTCTTCTCCATCTAATCCCATCTGCTATTCCATGGAGACATGGCAGGATGGGAATACTAATGGCTGCAAATAAAGGACAATAGGGGAAGAAGAAATAAAAGACTCAAAAGCAAGTATATAAAATAACTAATGATTGCAAAAAATGTCTGCCCAAATCGGATACAGAGAAGCAATTGTTCTGGAGTGCAACAGCTTCACAAATCTGCAGCCTGCAGAATCCCCCTTCTTGGAAAAGTTTGCTAAAGAAGTTAACACACCAAACAAATTTCAGTTATGTTCATGCATGAGAAAATAATATTTATTAAATATTTTATATGTTTAAACATCCAAACAGATATTATCAGCCTGATTAAAACAAAAAATCTAAATTGTAGTCAATAATTCACCAATTCTATCTAGAATTAATATACAATAAGAACACCTCCAAAATACTTTTAAAAGACCTAAAAAGTATTTAAAAGATCAAGTATCACAACTTCCTATCTTGGAGGGCATGGTAAAACAAGATTGCCAAAGATCACAAATTCCTAAATAGAATTCAGAATCTCAATTGTTTTCCCCATACACACAATATCAGTTTGGCTAACATTGTGTTACATTTTAGAGAACAAAAACCATGAGCTGACAAACCCAGTCTGGAACAAATACTGGATACTGGAACAAAGATGTAAACACACTACGTGATTATCAAACTACTAACTTTGGTGTTTACAATGAAAAATAAAAATGCCTTAGAACTATTGTTCTGTTAACTTTTAGGCCAGCAGTATAAGAGGGAATAACCTGGAAAACAAAAGCAGGCTGCGTGTATATTAAGAAGTTAATGCTAAGGAAAAAACACCACTACATAAAGAGGCAGGAAATACTGAAGCAACAGGATTAGCCACAACATGATGCTTAATTCTATAGTGCATAATTACTTGACATTACAGATGGCAGCTTGTTTAGTTTCTTCTAATCAAAGTCAGGTCTTTTATTTGGCATAACTGCACTACAGGTTGTTCAAATCAAAACCAGCTAGATGTTTGTGAGCAAAAACACAGCAAGGGTGCAGTGGTGCCACAGTACAGCGTAAAGTGAACTTCGCTTCTGGCTTTCAGGAGTTAACATCTTAGTGCACAAAACCACTACAGCTCAACTGTGAAACTGTTTTAAAACAAAAAAGCCTTCTCTCTGCTTGAAATTAACCATGGACTAACAAGAATACCTACACCATAATATGATCATCCATTATGAGCTTTGTTGATATTATTTCAAACAGAAGACTTCTTGCCATTGAGTAACACATAAACAAAATACAATGGCTCTTTGTAACATACTTATAACTTAGTTAAATGCTTACCTTGTTTGTAGCTGCCAGCGTTCCCAGGAAGAAAGAGAACTGGAATTCCTGTCAATAGGAGATGTTTGTTTTCTTCAGCATAGTTCCCTTCCCCATACAGATAGAGCTCATACGCTGGGTATCGTCTGGCTGTTTTCTTCGGTAATTTTATTTTCTGTTACACAAGTTAAAAAGAAACCAATTACCTCACCTATATTGTTGCAAATGAAAAACAAAGTGGCTATCCAGTAATTTAAATGATCTGGCTTATGTTTTATGTATTGTTTTAAATGACAGGCCAAAGAACAGAGAATAAAACACTGGCTGTTGCTTTTAAAAAATAATTGAAAGTAAAGTATGGAACATTGTGCTTAAGAAGGTATTGCTCTGCGTAATAACTGGCTGGAGTTACTTAGTTGAAACAACTATTATCTTTAACTGGCATTGAAACGAGCTGCAAATTAATGCAATTTATGTTAAAATTGCACATTCTAAAGTAAACCTAGCCTTATACTATAGGGGAAAAAGTGAAATAAACAAAAAGAGGTGAAAACCCAATCGCTTCTCTCAAGACATGAAAATTTGAGAGCAGAAAATGGGGCGCACGAGTGATCCTACTTATTCCTACTGCACCTAAACAGTTCTGGAGTCCTCCCCAATACCAGGTAACTCAGAACAAGGCTGTGCCGCTGCGCTGGAATGGAAGCTCCACCTGGAGGGGAGCAGGGGAGTGTCAGATGACAGCTACTATGTCAGGGTAAATTACAGGTGCAGTGCAAATTCTCTGGGATGATTTTTAGAGATGTATCCTGCAAGGGGAATGTGAACAATAGTAGTAACCACCTGAATATGGCTCCCCTGAAAAAAAAAACCAAACATGATACTCCGAGGGCTTTTTTGTTGTTGTTGATGTTTTCAGAGTCCTTATGTAGCCTAGTGACAAGAAAACTGGTTTTGTAACAACTGAGGATCCAATTTACACAGTAAATTGTGATATTAAAAAAGGACGCATTTCTTGTACTAAAACAAACAACTGAGCACCGAACCTCTCACATAGGTCACAGGATTACAAATTCCCAAAAGAACAAAATAACTTTGAAACTGAGAGTTAGGTGATGATTAAGTCTTAGACTTAAGTCTTAGTCTTAAGTGATGACTTTTAGAACAACATCACAGTGCTTTAAATCAAGAACATAGTAAGCAAAAAAATATTTGTCTCCTGTATGGAGGTTGGTTGGTTTATAATTTTGAGTTTCTAAGATAGACATTTTTAACATTTCTGTGAATGTGCATACACTTGTGTATGCACCAGCATTTTAATACTTTATGAAAATTCAGAGACAAGAAAGATAATTTTTAAAGTTTCTTAAGGTGCAATTCATATTTTAAGGAAACAATTTTACAGAATAAGATCAAAACTAAACTATTTTGCTTCAGAAACATTTTTTTCAAGTCTGTCTTGATTGCCTTGTCTAACTAGAAGCATCTTCACTTTGGATATTTCAGGTTTTTTTCTCAATTGCACCTACAGTAAAGGAGATTTAGCTTAATTCCCTGCCCACACACACTCTTTTCCTTCCCCTAGCTAAAGACTATTTCCTTTCTCCCTTAGCCTTCCAATTGTTTGCCATATTGCTTCTTTGCAACCTCTTTCTATGATGTTTTTACATATACTTAAAATTCTACAATATAAAAAGTTATCTTACATTTTTATATTGTATCTTTTAATTAAATGTACATGTTCAAGAGAGAGCACGTTTAACTCCTTCACTCTAAACAGAAAAAGTTAAGCTTTGTTCAGGGCTTGTGTCACCAGATCATCCTTTCAATGTTCTCTCCCTTTCCTTCACCACTTTCCCTTTCCAGCTTCACTGAGCTCACTGTCCCTTTTCCATTTCTTTATACTGCTCCTTTTTCAAAGGCTTTCAAAATTCTGTGAAAAACATAAAATGAATAAGGTTTTGATACTAAACTAAGAGTGCCATCAAGATATGTTTACATGACTTCTTGATGGATCAAATCAACCACTCTTCCACAGTATCTTCCTGGTTCATAATATTTTCAAAAACTTTTACAGAACACAAAATTAACAAGCTTTTTGAGGTCAAACTTTACTACCAAAATATTGGGGGGGGTTGGTAAATCATAGTGCTCGAATATTATAACAAAATGGCAATGCATAACTCCAAAGGAAAACAGATGTTCATGTTCCATGACAGTGGTTTTAAATTCTGAATTCCCAAGACATTGGTTATATAATTGGCTGTAATGAGCTGCAGCTACTTTTTACCATGCCAGTGTAGGCTTCATTTTTCACACTAGTTCCCACATAAATTAGGCTTATGCGAAAAAGTCCTCATTATTAACTTACTGATCTCTTACCAAGCTTAGCTGAACAGGACAAGAGTAGGTTTAATTCAAATATTGCAATTCTACAGCTCATGCAGAAAAAAAATAGATGGTTAAGTACAAAGAAAAAAAAAAAAATCCAAACCAATTCCAGTACTTAGTATGCTTGACTCTGAGGTAACCCACCCTGTTAGACACAACAGAAATGAAACTTCTTACATTTAATTTCTCAGCTATTGTTTTATAATGTGACACCCTATCTGCAAGAGAGGACATGCACCTTTCACCCGAAATTCCTACCCTGTGGTTTTCTACCAATGCCAGTATCACAAAGACATTAAAATGTAAACAAACACACCCTCCAACAATGAAGAGGTACTTGAAATTTTAACGACCTAGCAAACTTTTCCTCATTTCTGCCCTCATGTAAGTACTGCTTTCCACACAGTAAAAGTGATTACCCAAAAACCAGAAATTCTGAGGCAATATAGCCAGCTGCAACTTTATCTCCTGCATGGAACTAGTGATACCTTTAAAACTTGCATCTCTTGCCAGCACAACACTTGCCTAAAGATGCTTCAAGTTCAAGCTCTGATGTAACAAGTAAATACACAAAAGATGTGAGGTGGCAGATGACAATTTCAGGCAATCAGTAATAACATCATGCAGAGCTTGCCATTAATTTTCAGTTGGTTGGCTTCAGACTGAAGCTGAAGTATGTTTTGGCTGCTAGGAGATCTAAAACCTTAACACATAGTATTTAAGTATTTAGAGCTGCTTAGATAATTTTGTCCTACAGCACTGACTAAATAACCCTTGGAGCTATACCAAGGTTCTCTTTTGGAGGCTAACACAATTATGTCAATGTTAGCAAATGAAGGTTAATAGATCTGAAAACTTACTTGCTGTTTCATTACCAATTTAGGTAAGCCAAGTTTTGCTTTAACATAATCTTTAACATGGCAATTAATGCTTAGGAATCAACATAATATGCTTCGGGGTGTTTTCAATAGGACAGAAGATCCTGTATCATGAACTACTACTAAAAAGAGAAATGGCTTTCTAACAGCTGCAGAACTGAACCTACATATATTCACATATTTACATTCTCCTGTTATAAAGCCATAACACTGGGAAACAACAGTTCCATCAGCAGTCCCCTCTCTCTCATACTGAACCAAGGTTTTCAAAGAATTTTCTAAAAGGATTCGCTAGGAAAGGAAAAGGGAACTCAATCAGGTTTACAAGCTCTCCCATAAGCTGTGAGACTGAGCCACCTACGAAGTGCTCACCAGGAAGACTGCACTGCTGTTTGCTAGCTTGAGAAATACACTCACATTTGAATCTCAGTTACTCAGTTGTTATTATTTAGAACGTCAGTTGCTTCACACTCCATAAGGCCACAACGAGGAACAAGTACAAGACCTGATCGCTGTGGGTGTTGCCAGAGGACCCGGCCCAGCCTCTCCCACTGCACTTACAGCCTTGATGAGCTTGTGACCGGCTTTACAGGTAACTACAGGCGTTTACAAGTTAGAAAATCGGGAGCTTTTCTCTTCCTTTCACCCGCACAGGCGGCAGCACAAACAGCCCGTTACCCGGCAGAGGCGGCCTCCCCTCCCGCAGCCCCCGGGCGCACCCACGGGGCTGTGACACCTCGGCGACCTCCGCCCCAGCCCAGCAAACCCGGCCCTTCTGCGGCCGCCTCAGCTCGCACGGCGGCCCGGGCAGCGCGGGGGCCT